GAAAATCACACAGTACCAGGAATCATGGCTTAGCCAAACTGATACACACATTTTTGGGGGGACATAATTCACACCATGACACTTTCCATTTATAATTTTCCTGACACACAGTCTGTAAGCTACATGCTGATTAATACAAGCCTTCTAAACAGTATGATTAGGGAGCCCTGGTGGCGCAATGATTAAGCGCTTGGCTACTAACCAGAAGGTTCAAACCCACCCAGTGGCTCCACGGGAGAAAGACCTGGCAATCTGCTCCTGTAAAGATTACAGCCAAGAAAATCTTATGAGGCAGTTATACTCTGTCACATGGGGTCACTATGGGTCAGAATCAACTAAATGTCACCCAACAACATCAACAAACAGTAAGATTGTTAAGTAATTTGTTGCTTGTTTCAAACATTACCAATTCTAACTGTACATTTGATTTGAAACAATACATGCATGTGGATTAAGCATAAAGTAATATGACATGCTAAATCTTAGCCTAAGGAGCCCTGGTGATGCAGTGGTTACATACTTGGCTGCTAGCCAAAAGGTCAGCAGTTCAAATCCACTAGCCACTCCACAGGAGAAAGACGTGGCAGTCAGCTTCTGTAAAGATTATAGCCCTGGAAACCCTTTGGGGCAGTTCTACCCTGTCCTACAGGGTCACTATGACTCGGAATTGACTCAATGGCAGTGGGGAGTCAGTGGAAGTCTTAGTCTACCCATCACAATAGCTTAAATACCTGTACAGCATGTCGGTCTGAGCCACTGTAGACAGATATCTGTGGCTGCTGCATTCGAGAAGACGATGTAGTGATGGTTGTGGTAGTAGTGCTACTGGTTGTTGTTGACACAGAAGATGTTCCAGGGTTTGCTTCACTATCCATAGTTGTACTGTGGTCCTTAAATCTGGCAGGTAACACAAAGGGTTCGTATTGGTAAAAGCATTATCTTACGAGCTTTATAGAACATCTAATTGTCCCCAAATCAACAATACTTAAAATTTTTAAGAAGGCCCTCATAAAACACCTAGAAGGGAAAAGCACTTCACACAGGTATAGCATATTTAATAGTTAATACCTAAAAAATTTGAATTCAAATGATTCAGAGCATATAACTCACAGAAAGCCTGGCTTAAAGTTGATCTTGAAGCACTTACTGATGAAGATCAAAGACTACAGCTTTCATCAATATGGATAACACCTCAACATAAAGAAAGCAAAAATCCTTATAACTGGACCAATAAGTAACACCACGATAAATGGAGAAAATATTGAAGTTGTCAAGGATTTCATTTTACTTGGATCCACAATCAATGCCCATGGAAGCAGCAGTCAAAAAATCAAATGACATATTGCACTGGGCAAATCTGCTGCAAAAGACGTCTTCAAAGTGTTCAGATTCCTGTACACCCTCTCCTCACTTATCAACATGGTTAGGTTCCAAAGACCAGGTCGTTACGGAAAATCAGCATTATGCAAAAATGGAGGATGACCACATTACATCACAAAACGGAGGTAACAACATGATTACATAACTGCCAAGTCACCTCATTACGTAACTGCTGAATTATATCATTACATACTGCCAAACCACTGAGAATCATGGCCTAGCCAAGCTGACTAAGGTGCACCTGACCCAAGCTATGGTAATTTCAATCACCTCATATACATGCCAAAGCTGGACAATGAGTAGGGAAGATCAAAGAAGAACTGATTCATTTGAATTATGGTGTTGCCAAAGAATATTGAATATACCATGGATTGCCAGAAAAACAAATCTGTCCTAGAAGAAGTACAGCCAGAACGCTCCTCAGAAGCACGAGTTAGTGAGACACTGTCTCACTTACTTTGGACATGTTACCAGGAGGGACCAGTCCCTGGAGAAGGATATTATGCTCGGTAAAGTAGAGGGTTAGCGAAAAGGAGGAAAACCCTCAATGAGATGAACTGACACAGTGGCTCCAACAATGCGCTCAAGCATAGCAAAGGCTGTGAGAATGGCGCAGGACCGGGCAGTGTTTCATTCTGTTGCACACAGGGTCACTATGAGTCAGAACCAACTCAACAGTACCTAACAACAACGACAAAGTTTATCTTGGCATTACTGAAGGAAGATGACGATTTTGAAACCAAAATAGGTGATAAAAGAATATTAAAATACCCAGGAAAATAAAAATTTACATTAGGGTACCTTAAAACATTTCTTCACATTCTTTTGACAATACTAATTCCAAATTGAAGCCCTGGTGACAAAGTGGTTAAGTGATATGGCTGCTAACCAAAAAGTCAGCAGTTCGAATCTATCAGCCGCCCCTTGGAAACCCTATTGGGCAGTTCTACTTGGTCCTGTAAGGTCACTATGGGTTGGAATCAACTTGACCGCAATGGTTACCTTAATTACAAATTAAAATAATTCTTATCTATGTTAACGTAGAATGCCTATTGGGTTTGCATTAACTAGCTTAGTTTTGGTTACCACATATACTTGGCTTGAAAAATAAATTCTACATTTTTATTAATTCCCACTGGCTTTTCCCCTAATTAGTCTACAACACTGTCCTTACTACATCTAATAACTCTGAGTTATACTTATAAGCACATTACTTTAGGGAAATAGAGAAACAGCTGACAGCAACTTCTCACATCCTTCCAAAATCTCCTTATGAAGAACTGCTCCAAATTTTGAAAACAGCATTATATCACCTTCCTTACACGTACAATTTTTCTACTAGTCTTCCTGATGTTTTTCCCCTCCAATATTACTATCTCACTTCACTTGTGTTGTGGTACAACATTCTGCTAAATACAGAATCTAATAAGCGCAAATATTTTAAATCAATTTTGAAGGCCTCAATATTGTTAGACATTAGAATTACAATAGTTTTTGTAAGTCTGAAATGCACCACATGGTAAAAAGCCAACTTGAGGTTATACTGCTTTTATCTGCCTGTTCTTATCAGTCTTCTGAGAAACAAAATCTGACCCACCTCACACTAGCAGCATTGACAAGAATGTAACAAGAACACTTTCTTTTTCTAAAAAGACAAAGGAATTTGGCACTAATTGTGTACATGCATACTACTCCCATATTGTGTCCTTTTATGCACAATTTTTTTGTCGTTTATATCATGTATGTAAACAGTATTCATGTGCTCTTAAAGTAACCAATGTAAAAATTCTCGATTTAATAAGTGAAAGGAAAAATAGGGGGAGGGGGAGGCAAGGAGCTAACTCTTCATTTAACTTTTTTAATTAATAAAATTTATATATCTTTGTTGTCTAGTATTTTTTCCCAGAGCTTTTCAAACTGCCTTCCAACCATCAAATCACAGTATCCTATGGTAATTGTTCAACATCACACAGAATTAGTGGTAGATAAGGTAAACTTTTTACCAAACTACTGCCCGTCATAACACTTCTGAACCATAAGACCAGTTATATGCAACAAGCCAGCTTAAATTCTGGTCCTTTTGGAGTGCTGATCTGTTCAACCATGCCCTCAAACCCAAACCGTACGGTGAGCAGTTCTCAATACTAAACAAAAATGGTCAGAGAATCCAAATTTTAGGCACAAACCTAAACATCCGTGAGTCGAACTGACCAAATCATCGTACTGCATTTGGAGGGCTGGCACAAAAGAGCAATTTTGGTTAACTGCACCGTCTATGCATGTAAATACCTGCAAAATACAGCCAGCAGCTCTGGTGGACAAGAGGCCTACGCAGGAAGCATAAGTTTTTGAGTCTCTAACTAAGCATACCATCACACTGCCACACAAGAATGTGGCCCCCTAGGGAGGCACCAACACTGCAGCCAGAGACCTTTCCTTCCAGGATTTTTTCGCCTCACCATACCCCAGCAGCCCTCGCCGCTCGAAGGCCCGCGCTGGGACACCTCCTCCACGCCTCCCAGGGGAGGGCTTTGGGCGCCCTACGTCTCGGGTTCTCCTGCCGAGAAGAGCAGGGTGGCGCCGGGGCGGGAACACGGGGAGCGCGAAAGAGGCCTGGGAGTGCCCGCCCTGCCCTGCCCCTCCAGCCCCCGGCCCCGGCAGCTGCAATAAGATTGCCCGCCGGGCCTACTTGCAGGGATGACAACGCCTGAGGCGCCCACCTGGGCTCACCTCCGAGTCCCAGGGGTGACCCTGCACGCAGGGCCGCACCGATCCGGGATCAGACAGCGGATGGGGCGCTCCCGCCTGGAGGGTAACTGAACCCTTACAGGACGCCTCCGCCCCCCGACACGGGCCAAGCGGGCTCCTCCACCATAAGGAGGCTCTCGGGTCTCCCTTTCCCCCTCACTGCCCACGAAAGAGCCCTGAGATCTCCCCATGAGGGACGTGTCGCTGCCCCTACTCGCCCCACGGCTACGACATCAGTCACCAGCAAGTCACTCACTCCGCTTCCGCCATCTTCTCTCCTCCATCACTAACACGGGTTGCGCATGCGCCCCCTCCTCGGCGGGCGGAGAGGCGGGGTCGACTCAGCCCAGGGCCCCCGAAGTCACATGGGGTACTCAGTTTCCAATTCCCCTTCTGTCTCACGTCTTGCTGGGTTGTGACCAGGTTTCCCTAATTTAAATACCAGTTTCTCCTTTACAGCTCCTTGCTTTTCTTTGTCCAGGGTCTTCTTCCTGATGGGGAGGGGTCTGTAACCAGGATATGAAAAGTTCTGCTTAGACTGTTAAATTTTTTTTTAATGTTATTAATTAAAAATTTGAAGAACATCCAAAGTATACCAAAATCTCTGCAAACTGCAAAGAAGATGCCACGAGGGTTGGATGGTGAAGTGTCAGAGAGAAAGGCAGCGAGTTAGTGGCTGCAGGGCTGGTTACTTGGGATATATATATTGGAGTTTGGGCGCCTGAACAAGCAGACCCTCTCTGGGCTTTCAGAGGTGGTGGTTCCAATGCCGGTAAGGTGGGTGGTTAAGGAACCGTCCTGATTAACCCAGGAATATCATTGATGCTTTCAACATCAATTAACTGAACCATTAAGTAGGGACAGCAGCTTGAATACTTTAGGAACCCAACAGGAAAAGCCACCAGTTTGCCACCAGGTGTGATTTCCTGCATGCCAACTACACTGAGGCTGGATGAGACGACATATAAAGATGAGTAAAAGGAGTCCCTGTCTTCTAAGAAATGTAATCTGGAGAGGAGTGGTTTTTACAGAAATTTGTATGCAATATAGTTGTTGTTGTTAGGTGCAGTCGAATTGTTTCTGACTCATAGCGACCCTATTTGCAACAGAATGAAATACTACCCAGTCTTGCGCCATCCTCACATTAGTTGTTACACTTGAGCCCATTGTTGCAGCCACTGTGTCAGTCCATCTCGTTGAGGGTCTGTCTTCTTTCTCACTGACCTACTTTACGAAGCATGATGTCCTTCTCCAGGGACCGGTCCTTCCTGATAACATGTCCAAAGTATGTCCTTCTTCCTAGTCTGTCTTAGTCTGGAAGCTCAGCTGAAACCTGTCCATCATGGGTTACTGTGCTGGTATTTGAATCCTGGTGGCATAGCTTCCAGCATCACAGTGACATGCAAGCCACCATTGTACAACAGACTGACAGACGTGTGGGGAACAGACACAATATAGTAAGCGTTCTAAAACAGATCCACTAAGTGTTTTGGAAACCTGAAGTTTAAGGAATAATAAATCTTTATTGCCCTTCTTAGAAGAAAAAGCATACCAATCATAAACGATGTCTTTTTTTCTTTTTTGATTTCTTAAGCTGTAGTCACACTAATTTCAAGAACTGAGAAATAAAGTATTGATATAAATCCATCTTCAATTGTAATACAGGCTAATGGAAAGTGTACTTACGTAATCTTAGAAAATCTGTGTTCCAGGATCTGCCTAGAGGAAAAAGAACACTTTTATGTAAACTCAAATTGTCCCTTTGCTTCCTTTCCCCATCGGATAACATTGTTTCTTCACCTTCTCTTCCTATCTGATAGCCCTGCCTTTCCTACTACTCCTAGAACTCACTGATAGAGTCCCCTTTGAAAAGTCCCCGTAGAATCTTAAAAATACAATATTACTACTTTCCTTTTCTGACTTGCTCATACGATATCATTGTCATCAACTCGCAAGAATCGACTCTCCGTTGGTATTGCTGAAACTATTTTGTTTGGAAAAATAAAAGTGAAAAAAGCACTGTCTTAGACCTAAAGATGGAAAATGCATAATTCAAAGGAGTATTAGGAAGAGATAAAACCCAATTGTTCCTTTTCAATCCCTCTTTTGCTTGAACACCTAAGGCCTGTATCTATTTCGTCACCTCATGCAGTCTAGTCTGTACCCTAGGTCAGGAGTAGGCAAACTGCAGTCCGTAGGCCAAATCCACACAAGAGGTTATGTAAAATCAGATCACTATTGGTTTTTAGAAACGTGTCAAAGCTCAATATTTATTCTAAAAACAGCTAACATTTATGTAGCCTTTTACTAAATGCTAAGGATTTCCACAAACTCATTTGATCTTCACAACAGTCCTGCGATATAGTTATCATTTCCATTTAGCACAGAAGTATAGTAAAGCTCAAGGTAATTAAAAACCTATGTTGACTCTGCTAGAATTAACCAAAAGTGGAGTTCTAGTTTAAGTTTTCCATCTCCATAGCCAAGTTTTCTTCACCACATCATCCAACAAGCCACTATGCGCAACCTTGGAGGAGACAAAGTGTGAGGGACCACTCACCAGAAACTTGTAATTACTTGTCTGGTCAAACAGACGAAAGTATTTTACTTCTCTGCTGTTTCCTAAGGAAGGCAATCATTCTAGCAGTTTGGAATTCTTTCTAAGTTTGCAGGAACAGTTACCTTGGGGAAGTGCTGGGATACTACTTGATTTTAGAAAAATCCCTCTAGCTTTATGCAGCATAAATTAGAGGAAAGTAAAACTGAAGACAGGGAAACTACATTAATCCTTAGGGTAATGATAAGGAGTGGAGTGCAAACATATCAACAATTGTGAGGATGGTGCAGGACAGGGCAGCGTTTCCTGCTGCTATATATCAGGTCGCTATGAATTGGAACTGACTTATGGGCAACTAACAACAGGAATGGAAGGGAGAGTCTAGATTAAAAATTTAGTTCCTTAGTTGCATTAGTCATATTTCAAGTGCTCAATAGCCACATGGGGCTAGAGGCTGCCAAAGTAGACAGTGTAAATACAGAGCATACCTATCATCACAGAAAGTTCTACTGGGCAGTGCCGGTCGGGACTGTATGTAGGTCAGGAGTAGGCAAACTACAGCCCATAGGCCAAATCCAGCCTGTCGCTTGTTTTTGTAGGGCCCACAAGTTAAGAATGGTCTTCACATTTTCTCATGGTTGAAAAGAACCAAAAGAAGACTAATATTTTGTGACGTGAAAATTATGTGTGTTATACATTGAATTGTGTCCCCCGAAAATATGTATTGTAACTTGCAGCCCTCTACCTGTGGTTATAATCCCATTTGGGAATGGGATTTCTTTGTTGTATTAATAAGGCAGTTATTAGTGTAGGGTGTGTTTTACGTCAATCTCTTCTGAGTTATAAAAAGAGCAGACTGAGTAAGCAATGAGGCAATCAAGCAAGCAGATATGGGGGAAGATAGATGCCAGGCCACAGGAAGATCACCAAGGAACCAACAAGTAGAAGCTCAAAAGAAACAAGAACTCTTCCCAGAGCTGATAGAGAGGGAAATCCTCCTACAGCGGGCTTCCTGAATTCGGACTTCCAGTCTCCTAAACTGTGAGAAAATAAATTTCTGTTCATTAAAGACACACGTTTGTTTTATTTCTGTTATAGCAGCACTAGATAACTAAGACAATGTGAAATCCAAATGTCGGTGTCCATAAGTAAAGTTTTATTGTAACACAGCTGTAGTAACTCGCTTATGTATTGTCTATGGCTGCTTTTGTGCTATAAGGGCAAAGTTGAGTAGTTGTGATAGAGACTGTAATGGTCTGCAAAGCCTAAAATATTTACTATCTGGCCATTCACAAAAAAGTTTGCCAAACCCTGGTTTAGATCACCCAGCACTGGGCCCTTTCAGAATAGTTAATCCAGCATACCGTCTTAGGCCCCTACTAGACCTTGATGACTCTCATAGAATCTTGGGCTCCCGACTTTACCAAATGAGCCACGTTGGGCAAGTGATTCAATTGCTTCAAGTCTTAGTTTTATAACAGATAAAAGGGACAACAATAACTTGCAAGGTTGTGGTAAAGTCTAAAAAGATGAATGTATGTGAAAGTTCTTTTTTTTTTTTTTTTTCATTTTTTGTCCAGGGTCTTCCTTCATCCAGATTTGCTCAATAAATGTTATTGAGTATGCCTAGTACTTAATAGGTTTAAATACTTGTTGAACAAATGAATAATTGAATATTTGGATGCGTGAGGCATAAAATTGCAGTCCATCCTATAAATAGGAATGATACAATCAATAGACTTGCTTTCTCTTTTGCTTGGAAGTCATATGCTAAGGCTTACTTTTACTAAAACCAAACAGTATCAAAACTGAAAACACAATCTCTAGCCCTATTCTCTCACCTACTCTTGCAATAATCAGTAGGTTAACCGTATAGTTTATCAGTCTTATATTTCCTTGTGTACGTGTGGGTGGCACTGTACACAGCTCTATTTCCCCAGGTGCTAAATAGTGGATCAATAAAGACAGAAGGGAACCTAGACCTCACATGACACATACTGAAAATAGTTCCAGAAAGGAATCTATGGCAAAGCATATGGTAAAATCCATGTGAAATTGTTCACTACAGATTACTAAGTAAGCGCAAGTAAGCCAGTATGTACCTTACTTATTGGGTAATCTGTCCCTGCCTAGAATAGTTGTTATAAGCAGGGCTTCAGAATCAGACAAACTGAGATTTGGACCCTGACTCTACTACTCATTAGTTATATGACCTCTTTCGATCCCATCGGATCCATCTTCAAAATAGTACCTCATGTCTGGCCACACCACCGTGAACATACACGGAACACACACGCACCAATTATGACACTTCTTGTCATCTCCGCTGTTAGCATGTCCGTAATGAAAATTGAGTCCGTATCTTGCTCAAATCCTCTAGTGGCTTCCCCTCACACTTAGCGTAAAGCCCCAAATTTTCATTACAGCCTGTAAGACCCTATGGGATTTCCCCGTTGCTCACTCGGCTCCAGCCACACTAGCCTCCTTGCTTTTTCTTCTTTGCACTAGCTGCTCCCCCAACCTGGGATGCCCTCCACACAGATCTCGCAGTTCACTTCCTCATTTCATCTAGGCCTCTGCTCAAATACCTTCTCCTCAGAGTGCTCTTCCTGACCACCTAACCTAATATACCCCTCTTATTACCTTATAGGAGTCCTTGAGTGGCACAAATGGTTATATGCTTGACTACTAACCAAAAGGTTAGTGGTTCAAACCCAATGAGGGTGCCTTGGAAGACAGGCCTGGTGATCTGCTTCCAAAAAGTCACAGCCTTGAAAACCCTGTGGAGTAAGGTTCTACTTTGCACAGACAGGTTGCCATGA